AATGGGGAAGGTCAGTTACATACAATACAACATTTGTTGGGCTCTGTGTAATCGGATACCCCTGTTTATCGCAACAGTTCTTGTCTTTCTTATTGCAGTTGTAAACCACGCGCAAGTTATTCATTCTGCAGCGCTTCCTTGTGGACGCGGAATAACACTAATTTAGTTTGGATTTAACGCACCAGAGGCTTAAATCCAAATCACCGTTGCCAGAATTTAACATGGCATGATCCATCTGTAGTATATTTAAATCTGTGCTTATAGTGTGCATTGCATTGCTAGTTAAAAAAATTCAATCGTTTTTCGTTATTCATTTGTTTTCTGAAATAAAAGCAATGGGTGCTATATTCCATACATAATGGGCACTCTGTGTATTAGGAGTCGGCAACCGGCGGCCCGCGGGCCTCTTGTGGCCCGCACGCCGTTTCTTAGTGGCCCGCGAAGTGTTTTAAATTTTACTAAATATACCTATGGCCCGACTTACATTTTTCTTAATCTATCCCTTTTGCAAGTAACGGGTTTACCAATAAGAGCGATAGGATTTTAAATTGAAATAAAACACAGTCAATTTGGTCAAATTTAGGTTTGATTGGTTTTATTAGATGCTGTATTTCATGCCATTTATGATTTAAACAAAACATCGTTCAAATGGCCACCGCGGCTCTTTCTGCACTGGCTCATCCGATCGGACCAATTTTCGATGACTCGGTGGATCATATCGGGTGGAATGGCAGCTATGGTCGCTCGAATGTTGGCCTCGAGCTCGTCAAGAGTCTTGGGTTTATTCGCATAAACCTTTGACTTCACATAGCCCCACAAAAAGAAGTCCAATGGTGTTAAATCGCATGATCTTGGCGGCCAATTGTGGGGGCCATTTTGAGAAATCAACGATTCACCAAACTGTTGACGCAATAAGTCCATTGTAGCGTTCGCTGTGTGGCATGTTGTTGGATAATTTCCAAGCGTTGAGGCAACGTGAACTTGTTCATGATGAAATGGCAAGCCTTACTGATGACAACTGACCGCATATGTCAAATGTTTGGCATCCAACATAGCCGCCTTAAACGTTTAAAATCCTATCGTCCCTATTGGTAAACCCTTTAATAGTATTGTAATTTTTTTTGCTGTCGCTCCAACGCAAATTACTACATGAAAAATAACTGTTTTGTACCAATGTAGGGCGATAAAACTGTGAATTCGAATTCAAATATTCCGGACCCGGACCCACCTCCTCTTCCCCCCCCAATCCCGCCGTGGCCCCTCATACAGATCACAATTACACATTCGCTCACACTTACCAAAAGGTTGTGCCGACCCCTGCTCTATAACTGTTAGTAAAATCAATGCACAGAAAAATACTCAGCTGCAGTTCAAAAATATTCGTACACAGTAGTAACCGAGATTTTAAATCGTTACAACACCCTAAAATACTAGAAGTTTATACCTAAGTATACAGGGTGTAGTTTATCCCGGCCACAGAGGGCTGCTAGAAGTGACTTTTAAGAGTCTTCTTTACCTAAGCGCAACTTTTTTACATTATGGTGTATAGATGATTATAGTTGCAAGAAACAAGATGATATTCTTGCTTAGTCAACTCCTATTTTGGTCCTTAGTTAGTTCCCGTCGACACTGTGCAGCGGCGCTACTTGTTACACTCAAATTGTTGATTTACCGCCCGCCAAGATACAGACTTTATTTACAAAAAATATGATTTCATTTTTTGAGGTAATGTTTAGAAGTCACTTATCTAGAAAACTGTCGGTTTACTTTTTCCATAAACCGACTTGTTCCAGAGTAAAAAAATAAAACAGATTAGCGCAATAATCGATGCAAAACATCTAATCTTTAAACAGTCGGTATTCAGTTGCTATAAACTTTTTTAAAAAAATAACCCGAACATTTTGTAGATAAAGGTCTAAATTTTTAAAATAGTTCATAAAAAATTTTTTTTTTTTTTTAAACATTAGTTTTTATGGCGGGCGCTCTTATAGAAATATACATTGGGTGCAGTGGGTACAGAAGACTCTTAATATTCAGTAGGTATCGAGAATTTACTGTGTGAAATACCATGACTTTTGGAATGACAACCTAAAATTGGTCACTAGCTCTTGGTCTATTACATTAGGCATGACAACATCAAGAGCATAAGTATCTTGATATTTCACATATTGTTATCATGTTTACAACCTATACTACTATTATACAACTTTTACCAAGGAAAATATCTTCTCGAATCCGTATCACATGGAAATGAAAATACTTGTTTTCAGTACTTAACACAGCACACAGTATAGTTTATTTTGGTTTTATTTCATTTTTTATGGTTGCACATTTAAAAATTCATTAGAGTTCAGCATGTATTGCACAAGGATATAACAGTACAGTCGAGTGCTGATAATTCGAGTTTCGATAGTTTCCAGATTCCATGTAATTCGAGGCAACACAACTTCGCATTAAAAAGCCAAAAAACTATTGAAGACTTTCAAAAAATAAATTATGTACTTAAGTCCTTATTTTTTAACGTTCATCATATTTAATTCAATAAAATTTTAATGGTGTTGCAGTACTTGTAAACAATGCATACTGTAGTTTGCCTGACGCCTAACCGCTAACCTCAGATTTTTTTATAATATTTCATATAAATCGTTCTTTTCACAATCTCATGGTACCTTCAGTCCCATCAAACTCTAATTACCGGGACTCGGCTGTATTCACAAAATTTGAGACACTTAGGCAGTACAATTGGACAATGTTTCAAACATTGAAAAAAAAATGTCTGAAAAATTCAAATAATTGAAAAATCCCCAAAAATAGAGAAACACAAAGATCAAAGAAAGTTGTTTTTATTTTATTTATTTATTTATTATCCCTCTCTGGTTCTGGGCCCTCAACAAGCTTGCGCCGAATTACAGAGTGACCCGCATAACGCCATTTAGACGTGCCCCTGCGGAAGGTCTTAAGTTGTTCTATACTACTCAGTATTTACCTTATGAATTCGGAAAGCTGCGGGAAAACCTAATTTGAAGGAGCCGGCAGAATGCTTGAAACTGAAATTCCCATCTCTGTCACAGATGAAAAATTCGCACCATAGCCGAGGTTTGAACTCCCGACCTTCGGCTTGTAACCCAATGCTCTACCACTGAGCTACATAGTCGGTATATGTGTGCTATCCATAAAAGCAAACAGTACTACATACTGTTCTGTTTGTCGTGTTATTAAGCGGCAGAGAAAAGCGATACAAGCTTTATAGGGGAGACGATGGTGTCCATCTGTCCATCCGTGAACATGATAACTGCCAAAGCATTGAACCGATTCAATTGACCTACATGTCACAAGCCAATTGAAAATGGGTCAAATCCAATGACCCCGTAGGGTCACACCGAGGTGCTCTGCCACTTTTTTAGATGCTCTATCTTCACAACTGACATTTTAAATGTTATATTTGAGCATCGTCTCGTTTTAGATTATGTCGCTTTGTTAGTAGATACTGCTTTACACTTGGAGCGCTATGAAGGACTCTTGCATGTGTTGCATGACCGGTTTTTATCTAAGGGCTATATCACTTGAGACTAAATTAATATAGTATCAAATCATTTTATACCTAAGATACAAAAACCCAAGTTTAACCAGTGTATCAATTCTTAGTAAGCCGGCGCAATCAGAACAGCGCAGCCTGAGGAGTCTATAAATAGCCAATATTAAACGTACAGTAATCGTAATGTGTTCCATAGACCAGATTGAGTCGCCTAGTGTTTTATATCCAAGCCATTTAGTACTAAATTTAGTCTCATGCCCTAGAAGTCTAAGCCTACTTTTGTTTTTTGAATTATAGTTTTGAATTTTTGAAATATTAATAATTTTGTATTACATTTAAAATGCGCTTTTTGTATATAACTTAACCTTTTTTTGTTATTATATAAAAGAGTATACCGAGCGCAGCAATTGCATTCTTTCCAAATTTCTTCTCATTCAAGATCAGAGTTTATTTTTACACCTTCGTGTAGGCATCTTGGGGTAGGCAAATTTTTGCAAAATCCTCCTATACGTTATGGTTGGTAAGAAAAAAGTAAAGAAACACAGATTTTGAGGGCATAACATTTTAAATGTTCAGTTTTGTTTTTTTCGAGTAGCTTTTTTATGAAATCATACCTTTTACTTACCTGAAAGAAACTTTATGTGCTTTATCACAAATTTGCCATATATTTAGAATAGAATAACGTTTATTACTGCCATTGTGACGAAAAAAAAACCCATTAACCAGAAGTCTACATATTTTTAAAATTAAAGTATTAGGGAATTATTAGAGCAGTTTCCTGAAGCAATGCTGCAGTAACACAAATGACAATGTGTGAAAGCCTAATAAGCAAACTTTAATACAGATATTGAAACATTTTGTGATAAGTGACGCAGCAGGTAGATGTTACTCAGACTAATTTGGCGAGAGTTTGTATGTTTGATAAAATTTAATTTAGGGTCTATTTTAACACCAAGAAATTTGACTTGATGTGGGTTATTAAAATTAAATTGCCTCATTGCCATAACCATCTGTACGGCTTTATTTTGGTTGAAAGTTAACCTATTACTTATACACCACTTCTCAAAGAAGCTCAATGCTGTCTGTGATTCCGATAGGACAGTATTCACACTGTCATGGCTTATGAGTAATCTGGTGTCATCATTTATTTTTTGCCATCCATCTTCGTATTCAAACTACTTTAATTTTGCAGATATCACAATTGTATTCTATATTTTGCGAATGTTTTCACTAATAAAGATTTTCAAGAGAGACTTGAATATTTGTTTATTTATAGAAAAGCTGCGTTTTCTCTTAGGTTAGTGCCAGAAATGCTTGAATTTTCTAATGTAGCTTTTCGTATTCGACTGATAGTTCACTATAGTCCACTCATTGAATACTATTGGAGGAGAAAACTTGTAAGCTAGAATAATATTTTTAAAAAAATTCTCACGAAATACTGTGCTTATTTCAATATTTTTTGCAGATGCTACTAGTGTGTCCTCCAGTAGTAATCAATCTCGAGTGACTTCCACGCCTGGACCATCATCTGTCTCAAGTTCAGGATATCCGGCTAGTCCCTCTGTCATCAATTTAGACAGCCCGTCGCCGCCGAGGTCTCCACAAAATTCGATGTCAACACAACCTATTGTATCGCAACCTTCATCCTGCATGATGATGTCTAATGGAACTGGCGCCGTAGATCCCTTAAGTACGATCTCCAATAATTCCGTGTCGATGCCATTCCTCGATTTGGAAAGTGAAACAAGTAACACGCCACTGTTCAACTTGAGCATTGATCTATGAAATGAGCGAATAATAAATCAATTTTGATTGCGTGTTTTAAGATAACTTTGTGTATTTATTTAAAAGTAGGCCCTATTTGTATTCATTCACTTCTGAACATTTTATTGTTTTAAGGTACCTCCACCATGTAGTTTATATATTTGGTTGAGGTGTAGATTCATTATATCAGTTGATAGTTTTATAGTGTTACACATATGACGTTTATTTAGTTTTCTTTTTTGGGAAAATTTTTAGTACAACTGAATTCATAACTCAACGTTTACGTAATGTTTATTTTTTTATTGTCACCCACACTTTGTCGAATAAACTGTTGTACTTTATTGCACATATAAAATTATGCGTATTGGAAACCAAAGAGAATGAAGAAAATTGAAGGGGGTAAGTGTTTAGTATGAGTTTATGACTCATTGATGTATATCATATAATAAGTTTAATATCCGATCAAAAGTAAGTTGCTGTCCAGTCACCTTTGGATTTTCTGTTTAAATGGGAAATCGTCTTGGACCATATAGTACATGGACTACTAATTGTAACTAAAATATGGTCAAGGACATCGCCTGGGTAATCTAGTTTCAGGGTAAACGAATCTGTCTGAAATTGTCCGATGAAACACGATTTGAGACTGTCAACCTATAAATGAACAAATGTCAATTAATGAATTGCCTAGATATGGCAAAAAAAGCAAACTTGTTCCTATTTGTGGACGTATAGAAGATAATCAAAAGTATTTAAAGCTTCCCGTATTACGCGGTTATCATAAAAGCTACCCTTTACGCGATCCGAGTGGTGTTCATACAACTTTAGTTTACCCTGAGATTCACATACCCACGACTACAGTGCCCTCTATCCGAGATCCGTGACCACCCATTTTGTATTGAAAGCATAGGGCTAATAGCAGTCCATGTACTATATGGTCTAAGGAAACCGTACTTGACTTGAACTTCTAAAGACGACTGGACCACCACTCATTTTTGATCGCCCGTTATAACACTTCAGTCTGCTGTACAATATTAATATTACCGGTCTAAAACATACGTCTTGTTTTAGGGTCAGAATCTTGTCATATTGCATGTACCTGCATATTCTTTATTTTTACATTTTCACTTTAAATACATCAATAAACGTTTTTATTAAACTACCTGCCGTCTATGGAAAACTAGACGCCGTAGTATGGTCATAGATAGAATAACTGTTAAAATTTTGCTTTTGATCTATACACTTTTTATGAATAATTCATATAATACTTTGGCAAATAATTATAATTAAACTATTACCATTGAATAACTAATGCTATTACCTACATTTAGTGTTCATGCCAATATAATGCACCTTTTGTTAAGTGTTATTGAGATTTTCTGAATTTCTATGGTATGGTGCTTCCAATTTGGTCTCCTTTCTAAATCAAAGTGAGGGAACAATCATACCATATGCAAAGTAAAACAGTACAAAGTGGTTTATATCACATATTATAGACTACCTTCATGAAGCGAGGGTTGTACTGCTAAATGTGTGCTTGTACTTATAAACAATAAACTTATTTCCAAAATATGTATCATGATTCCTATTGAAGGAAGATTGCAAATTACCTTAATTGTTGGGTTTTTATACTTTTATATTCGCTCTATTAGTACTGACCCCAGTTTACAATGTAGGTATAATAGGTAAAATGTAGTAGAGATGTATTGACTATTACAGATGCTTATTAAATGTTAACATACAACTTACGACTGGACACATTTTGAGAGCTGGAAACCGCATAATTTTTAGAAGAAGGGGACAACTTCGTCTTCTCGAGCATGCACGCTTCTTACAGCCATATTGATTTGAATTGTCAAGAGAGGATCATCTGGTTTAAATTTGTTGCTGTTTGTGTTAATTAATGCCCGTAGTAATCTTTGCATTTCTTATACATAATTTATTTTTGTTTTGTATTCAGCATTTCAAATTTTTTTGTAATTTTCAATCTGTTATTGAAATTTCGATTATTTAACCTCGACTCTTGTGTCACGTGTGAAAATGCAGGTAACTTTTACGTATGTCAACTTTTTCTTTAGTTAAATATATCGCACACAAACGAAAATTAGTATACGGAAATCAAAAGGATAATATTCAAATTAATTAATATGACGGGCAGCTCGTCATTTGTTGTAGGTAGCTATTTTGGTTGCATAAAGTTAGGCGTCCTTTAGAAGCTATCATTTAAAAGTAGACATAGGAAATCCCTATATCATATCTACTTCTACATGAATATCACTGTATAACACCTTATGTAGATCCAGTTTTTGGCATATGCACCATACTTTGTGTATGATATGCACTTTCTTGTTGCACAATCATAGACATATGACACGTCTGTGGGTAGTACGATGGTCTGTTGTACATATATACATACACTGTGTTTTTTTTAAGATGGGCCATACGACAATGTAAAGGCGTTGAGTTATTTAAAATGGGCCATAGGGAAATTTACATTGCATCAATTGTTTCAGTCATAGCTTCCTCGAGAATCATCTGCCACAGTGCTGTAGAAATTGTTTCTAAATCAACAAATTTATTTAAATCAGATATAAACGTATAAAATTACAAACAGTGCTCGAATTGTTTTCCACCTGCAACCAAACAATACCCGATACTCGGCACTAAATAGCTTGCATACCACTCGGCTACTGTGCCCACTCTTGTACAAATTGTACTACATGAACACCTTTTCAAGCGGCGGAATACAGGTTGTTGCTTGCTTCGTTGATGCAGTTTGAGAACTGTCAGTGAAATAACTAAGCGCAAGGCAAAGATTTGAGAACAATTGGCGCAGTGTAAATTTCCCTATGGCCCATTTTAAATAACTCTACGCCTTTACATTGTCGTAAATTTTTATTCTGAACATGCAAATTTCCCGCATACATGTATGATTAAAACCGGATTTATAGTTCCGTAGCCGTAAGAACGGAACCGTAAAATCTTACGTAAAGAAAATTATACGATTTATAGTTACCGTAGTGGTAAGAGATGAGCTTGCGCATTAGTGCGAAACGAATTCTGCCATTGTATGTCATCTAACGTGCATTTCAAAATAATAATAACTTACTCTGAGATAATAACCATAGAACAACAAACTTAGAATGGAAACTCTAATGTAATGTAAAAATGACGCGCCACCTCGTGTATGTTCCCAGCAGCTTTTTCGTGAATGGCGCCAAATTTAAATATTAAAATGTAAGCTACGTCCGCATTATACTGCATTTCTCCGGATCTGTAACAATAACATTGGATTTGACTAGCTGAAACCTAAAAGGTAAATGAATCCAGCCAGTGAAGTCCAATTTTGTTTGTTAGAGATCCAGATAAATTCAGTTTAATGCCGATGCACCTCAGCAGTCAGGGCTTCAAAGAGTACAGACCACTTGTTTTATAAGTAACAACTCCAATTAATCCAATCAAGGAGTTATATTTAATTTAATATGGATATACAAGATACAAGATCAACTTCATGGAACTCTACTTTATGATGCTCTCAAGATCGTTCTAAAAACAAAATATGTAGCAATTTATTACAATTCAATTAGTGTTACCTGCTAATGTGCGAACTGCCACACGCTTTAAAACTCTTCGTGTTCCAGGTTCTAAAGCGCAACCAGAAAAATGACGTTCACAAACCAAAAACTTTTGTGTAAATTTCTTCCACATTATATTCTAAACCAATTCTATAAAAACTTCGGGCTCCATTTTTGGGAAACGTCTTCACAATTTGTCACACAACATTTACGTTTTCGGTTTGTATACGCATAATTCATTGTAGTAATGAATAGTAATTATACTAAAGTACAATAAGCCGTCAATCAAAATTCAACTGTCATAATGGCGACACGTACTAAAGTCACTAGATTTAGTAACTTTAACACGCACGCTAAGTATGCGCCATCTATTGAATGTTCTCCAAACTAATTATATTTGTACTCAGTTTACGTTTCCCTTCTAAGTTTTTTGTTCTGGGATAATAACCTACAAAGTGTCAATCATTATTATAAATAAACAAAACGAACGTCAGGATAAACTCAACTGTTTGAATTATCCGAGTACTGCCGAAGACAAGCGCGTTAGCACGATTTACCGTAAGAAATAAGATTTGTGCATTTCCTACGTACCGTAACCGTTCTAACGCAACGTTAATGGTTAAAGCGAATTATAAATGTTCAGACCCAACAAGTAGGATTAAAAAGCTCTTATCACAGATTTAAATATACTACAGATGGATCATGCCATGTTAAATTCTGGCAACGGTGATTTGGATTTAAGCCTCTGGTGCGTTAAATCCAAACTAAATTAGTGTTATTCCGAGTCCACAAGGAAGCGCTGTAGAATGAATAACTTGCGCGTGGTTTACAACTGCAATAAGAAAGACAAGAACTGTTGCGATAAACAGGGGTATCCGATTACACAGAGCCCAAGAAATGTTGTATTGTATGTAACTGACCTTCCCCATTTACACTCGCAATTTTTCTGCTGGCATGCGTTTATGTTAGTTACACATACACATTCCTTTATATCGGAACTCGGAAGGGCGAACCGACGACTGATTATACCTTATTCTGTCAAACCAACAAGATTTGTAATTATGCAGGATGTTTACCGTATAATTGATTTATTTTTGATTATAAGTAGGTACGGTATTTTGTGCGATTTAGGTTCTATAATGCCTACGTCTCTGATCACAGCTTGGCGTGTTCCGTGCTCGTATTTAGATTTTTAGAGTATTTTTAATGATAAGACGATCTAAAAGCACAATTATGACGTAGACGATCAAGTTTTTATTAATTAATCAGAGGTGTTAGGCCTGTCTTTGTGAGAAACAACATAGGTACCTAACAATAGGCGTCTCTGAGAATTTAAGTCAAGTTAGCGAATATGAGTCGAATGTGAGATGTGACCAAACGCCCCGTTTTGAACGTGACAGTTCCGTTTTTAGTACACTTTTACTTTCAAAAAATAAAATGTGCATACTTTGGCGCTCTTGATATGTCTACCTGTCTGTCTGTCTGAGTCACAAAGGCTCCGGAACTACACCACTTACGGACTTGGTATTGGTGTCATTCGATCAGAAATTAAAAATTTTTTCATTTTTGTATTCTCATTAAGGCATAAAATGTTCATAAGGGCTGTTAAAATCGAAAAAACAGATTTGAAAATGCACTCTTCGCCTTTGCTCACATATATTAACATTAAATGATTTAAAATCAAAAGTTGTGGGGTTTTTGTGGAGACAACGGTAACTGTAGGTAATTTTGGTGGCAAAAATAGTAAAAGGTGTCAACAAAGCCTTTGC